CCCCAAAACCCCAAAACCCCAAAACCCCAATGCGAGGTTATTATAGGTGAATATTAGGAAGAAATATGGAATGGATAGGTGGGTTTGGGATGAAATTTGGAAGGGGTGGTGGGAGGTTGATGTAGTTGAGGGAGGGTTAGGGATTGGAGAGGAGAGGAGGGAACTAGAGGGTGGGAGGTTATAATTGGGGGTTGGGGTGGTTGGAATAGGGATAACTTGTTAAGAAAGTTTACTTGTTGAGATATTTTGGAATGTTCGTTGGAGTATAACTAGGAGATATTTTTTATGATATCCTTAGCTTTGACTTCTTCGTTGATGCAATGAGACCTAAAGTTAAAAGGTAAGCAAGGTTACTTTCCTACCTACTGATGAACAACTCAAATCTTAACAAAGTTGATTAATCTGCCTAAAAATTGGCCAGCATATTACTTCTCAGCTCTTTTACTTACTATAACTCTTTTTCTCAATTAATTTCAGCTCTATTTTTTCTTCTTAATTTTTTACAGAAAAACTGGGTAATTTCACCAAAGAGGATTTATTGGTAAATTATCATACTTTCCTAGAAAGTCTTCCAAACCTAAAATATTAAAGCTAGATACTTAGGGCTATATTACTAGCTTTCAGTCGTCACTGTTCGGCATTGATGAATGGGTGGAAAATGGTCAGATTTATAACTAAATTTGCTCCATTCTAATGACAAAGTTATCAGAGTTACTCCTCGGAATATTTTAAAATATTAAATTTAGGTTTCTTATAATAGCCCAGTTTATTGTTTGTACGATTTAAGACGAAAAGAGGCAAATTCGCCCAGCTTCGCTTGAATTAGCGTTCATCAAATACAGCTTTATGATATAAATTATTTAACTAGTGAAAATATTGCAAATGATTTTTAAACTATAACCAGAAATTTTATTTCCTTCATCTCCATAAATAAAGCACTAAAAACAAGCCTCAAAGTATTTCATGAATTTTAAAATGTGTGGCAGTCTCTTTGAATGGCAACTTCATTATAAGTTACTCTAGTACATTCTATAGAATAGCCCAGTTTAACGATGATCAAGATGAGAAACTAATAATTAGATCAATGATGGCTAGCTTTGAAGTTTATAACATCACCGAGATAGTGGTATAGGGATATAACTGCATAAAATATGTATCCTAATGCAGTAGACATAGTCATAAAAATCGTGTTTGCCAATAACATTCCATTAGAATTTTTCTCTTATATTAAGATTTTTATTCATAATTTACTGACCATATACACCTAAAATTTTCAAGCAGTATCTACCCTGTTATGAAACCCGATTAATCTAGGAAAATCAGAGGAAGTTTCATTAAATGTTGGTGACCAGCCCACTCTTTGATGAGTAAACTTTATATTGCTTAAGAGAGAGTAGTTTATTACCACAGGAATTTACAACAGTTATGCACAATGAGTATATTAAACTATTAAATTTAGACGAACTTGCAGGTATCAGCCCCTGAGTGGTTCTCAAATATAGCAAAGATAAGCAACTCTTTAGAACAATTAATTATGAAGTGGACATAGGAATTTGGGATAAATTATTATGATGAATTCAAAATTAGTTATGGCCGTAATAGTTTGGGTCCTTATGTACGTCCCTCATGGTGATTTCTCTTTCAAATCTACGTATAGGTGGCTCTTCTTCAAAATTACCTTCTTTATCACAGTAGGAGACGCTTCTTAGTCTGATAGCTTGATGTAAAAGATCTTTAATGTCTTCTTTCAAGCTTTTGGTTTGTGATAATATCTTCTTTCTAGTTTTTATCAAAGAAAGAGTTTTAGCAGGTACTTCAAGACTATTGCCTCCAAATGGTACAAATTTACCAAAAAGGTAACTCTCATTACATGATACTTTGCTTCCTCATTCCTTAGAGATATAACTGAAGCGAAATTGAGACCCAGCCATGTTCTTATCAATGTTAGGGGAGGAATTAGGAATGGCAGCACAAACATTTTCATTAAGAAGTTCTTCAGATAAGTTTTCTTCAAAATCAATAAATTTATTCATATTTATATATTATCACCTTCAAATGTTTTCTCTTATATGGGGTTTTGGGGTTTTGGGGTTTTGGGG